CAACTCTCATAGCCCCGGTGACCTGACCGTCTCCCGATTGCAGTAGCACCTATAAAGTTAGCCTTGGGGGTTGGGAGATGATTTCACCAGCGGCGTGTCCTTCACGGGGAGGAGATGATTAGAATGGGGAGTGAGGAGGAGCAGCTGAACAACCCGGTTGTTAGAGATCGTGGTCTTGGCATCCTCAGAGCACAGGATGCGGGAGGGCCCTGGGAGTGCCTACGTGGCCGAAGCCCTGAAGCCCCGCTTCTCTGGAGCTTCTGCCTCCTGCAGGTCCTGTGGGAGCAGGTGAGGCGTGTGGGAAGCTTCAGGAAGAACCGGGGCGTGCCGCAGAGACCTCGGACTTCTAGGGTAACCCCCCCACCTCCTCAACCCCACCCCCCACCCCCACCCCCACCCCACCCCCGTGAGCAAGGCAGAGGCCGAAGACAGGACTTCTGACTCTTGGGGCACCTGGGTGACTCAGATGGTTGTCTGCCTTCTGCTCAGGTCATGGGTTCAAGGGCCTGGGATTGAGCCCCACATCTGGCTCCCTGCTCAGCGGGGTGCCTCTTTCTCCCTCTCCCTCTGCCACTCCCCTGCTTGTGCTCTCTCACTCTCTCTCAAATAAATAAATGAAATCTTTTATTTTTATTACTATTATTTTTTAAGATTTTATTTACTCATGAGAGAGAGAGAGAGAGAGAGAGAGGCAGAGACACAGGCAGACGGAGAAGCAGGCTCCATGCACTGGGAGCCTGACGTGGGATTCGATCTGGGTTTCCAGGATCGTGCCCTGGGCCAAAGGCAGGCGCCAAACCGCTGCGCCACCCAGGGATCCCTCTCCTTACACTTGAAAAAATATTCAGTGTCAGGTAGGATGTTTGGGGCTGTAATTGAGGCTTCCTAATCAAAATTGACTTAAGGGGTACCTGGCTGGCTCAGTCTGAATAGTGTGTGACTCTTGATCTCAGGATCATGGTTTTGAGCCCCACAGTACATGTAGAGATCACTAAAACAACAACAACAACAACAACAACTTTATTTATTTTAAGGATTTATTTATTTATCTGGGAGAGACAGGGAGAGAGCATGAGCAGGAGGGGCAGAGGGAGAGGGAGAGAATCTCAAGCACACCCCGTGCTTAGCAGGGAGCCCCATGTGAGGCTGGATCCCAAGACCCAGAGATCACAACCTGAGCCAAAACCAAGAGTCAGAGGCTCCACCAACTGTGCCACCCAGGTGCCCCACAAATAAATAAACTTTAAAACAAAACAAAAGTGACTTAAGCTATAGAATTTTCATAATGTCGATTAACAAGAAGCCAGCAAAACAGTCTCTGGATTGACTCAGTGGCTTAGTTTGTCCCCTAGGACCTTGCAATTTTTCCCCTCAGCAACATCTCGGCAACATCTTCCCTCATGGTTGCAAGGTAGCTGTTGTAGATCCAAGTATCATGCTATCATGCAACAATATCCAAAATCTTCCCTCCTTATCTCTCCTCTTTTATCTTTTTTAATCACATAGGAAAATCTTTCTTAAAATCCCCCCCCACACCAGGAGGCATCCCCTTTCATTTCACTGGTCAGAACTGAGGACACAGGCTCCACTGACCCAGCCACAGGGAACAGGGACTGTTACCATGGCTGGTGTGGACCATGGGTCATCCTAACAACAGGGAAGAGGGAATGCCTGCTAGGAAGTGAACCCTTGTGTCTGCCATTACATTTTTGTTCTTTTTTCTGATTATAGAAGTCATATATGTCCTCTGTAGGAAATTTGGGAAATCCAGAGAAGGATGAAGTAGATCCACCTGGAACCAAGCACTGTCTTATCATTTTGACCTGCTTTTCTCTCTCTCTGCACTCTGCTCCACTCAACCCCCTTCATCCTCCTCTGCACCAGCCCTTTATCTCTGTTTCCCCATACCCAAACCACTTCTATTCAGTACAGAAAAACACTTGTTGTAGGTCTTGGCCCCAAATTCCTCCCTTGCTTTTTTTAAAGCTGTGGGGAAAAAAATTCATAAGTAACAGAGTATGTAAAAAGGATGTGTATATTGCAATGATGTTACAAGTGCTTGTGAACCCACCACTCAGCCTGAATACTTTGAAGCCCTGGTCATGTACCCTCCTTTCCCTTCCTGAATTGGCTGTTGCCCACTGTGTTCATCATTTGTTGCCACAAAAATGCCATGTATTGCCTCAAAATTCAAGAAGCTTCATCTCATATTCATGGTCTGCAGGTTGCACTAATCTAGATTGGGCTTGGTGAGGTGGCTCTACCTCAAGTTGCAGATTGTCTGCATTTGGCTCCAGACTGCAGGCTGGAGCCAGGTCTGCTCCATATGTCTATCATCCTACAAGGATCAGAGTCTACCTGGCGCATATTCTCCTCCTGGCCCTTCACTGAAGTGAGAGAACCATGTCAAACAGCAGCAAAAGGGGATCCCTGGGTAGCTCAGCGGTTTGGAGCCTGCTTTTGGCTCAGGGTGCGATCCTGGAGTCCCAGGATCAAGTCCCGCGTCGGGCTCCCGGCATGGAGCCTGCTTCTCCCTCCTCCTGTGTCTCTGCCTCTCTCTCTCTCTCTCTCTCAAGGTCTATCATCAATCAATCAGTCAATCAATCTTAAAAAAAAAAAACCAGCAGCAAAAGCCCATTGAAGGCACTGCTCAAGTCATGTTTACTGACATTCCACTGGCCAAAGCAAATCACGAGGCCAAGCCCAATCTCAGCAGGGCAGGGAAGTACACTCTTTCCCAGCAGAGAGAGGTACCCAAACATTTGCTGAACCACAATCCAGACTGCCATAAAAATGCCTTTGGTTTTCTTTATGGTTTTGCCAGAAAAAGATGTATCTCTGCAGAATATATTAGTTGTTTTCCTCTGGTTGTGAATTTTCTTTTCTTTTTTTTTTTTCTTAAGATTTATTTATTTATTCATTCAGAGAGAGCGAGAGAGAGGCAGAGACACAGGCAGAGGGAGAAGCAGGCTCCATCCAGGAAGCCCGATGTGGGACTCGATCCCGGGTCTTCAGGATCACACCCCGGGCTGCAGGCGGTGCTAAAACACTGCGCCACCGGGGCTGCCCGGTTGTGAATTTTCTATAAATGGATTCTGAGTGGGTATATTTTCTGAGTCATGTTTCTCTTTACTTTGTTTTCTCCCTATTTTATCAGTCAGGATGTTTGGTTGTGAACACAGACACCAATGCTGGCTCCCTTAAGGGAAAGGGATTTATTGGAAGGGTGTTGGGTGGTTCATAGAATTGATGGGAAGGTTGGAGGGAGAGCCAGGCTCAGGAAGTGGACAGGATACAGATCAGTAGTTGCCTGGGGCTGGACATGGAGATTCCCTCTACAGGGAACTCCCTCTAAAGGGGCACAAAGAAACTTTTTTGGATGATGAAAATATATTTTGATTGTGACTGGTCATATGGGATTTATACATTAGTCAAAACTCATCAAACTATATACTTCAAATGGGTGCAATTTATTGTATGTAAATTATATATCACCTTGATATAAAAAAGAGGATATGCTTCATTTAATAATAATTTTTAAGTCTGTAGTGGCTAGTGCTTGAGAAAGCAACTGTGGGGTTCTTCCCTGACTAGTTTTATATGATCTGGGGTGATATTTCTGGCTCTATACTGGGTTCTCTAAACCTCTTGTTCATTCTGTGAGCTCCCCAATAGTACTTTTTGTTTTTTAAATATAACAGATACATCTCAATAAAAAATTCAGTGATTTGAGTATATTCACAGGATTGTGCAACTATTGCCACAATCAATTTTAGAACATTTTCATTACACCAATAAGAAAGGCCATACACATTGGCAGTCAGTCCTCATCTCCTCCTAGGCACTATATTACTTTGCTAGGGCTACCATAATAGAGTATCTGGATGTCCTTAAGCAACAGAAATGTATTCTCTCATAGTTCTGGAGGTTAGGAGTCTAAAACAAGGTGCTGGTAGGACCACGCTTTCTCTGCAGGCTCTAGGGAAGAATCTGTTCCATGCCTTTCTCTTAGCCTCTCATGCTGTCAGCATTCCTTGGTGCTCCTTGGCTTGCAGGCACATCTGCAAATTGCTGCCTCTGTTGCCGTGTGACATTCTCCTCTGTGTCTCATGGTTTCACAGGGCATTCTTTTCTCTTCGTGAGTCTTTCTGTGTGTCTGTTGTCTTCTCACGAAGACATCAGTCATATTAGATTAAGAACACACCCCACTCTGATATGACCTTGTCTTAGTTTACATCTTAATTATATTTGCAAAGACCCTATTTCCAAATAAGATCACTTCACAGGTACCAAGGGTTAGGACTTATCATATCTTTTAAGGGGACATAATTCAGCCCACAACAGTCTCTCATCTCTAGGCAACCACTAAGCTACTATCTGTATTTGTGGATTTACCGATTCTGGACATTTCATATCAATGTAATCATATAATATGTAGTCTTTTGTGACTACTTTCTTTCACATAACATGATGTTCTCAAGGTTCATCCATGTTTTAATGTGTTGTATTAGTACTCCATTACTTTTTATTTGAAATAACATTCCATTTATGGATATACTGTAATTTTTTTTTTTTGCTCATTCATTGATGGACATTTGGATTGTTTCCATTCTCTGACTATTATGAATAGTGTTGCTGTGAACATTCTTATACATATTCTTGTGTGGATATATATTTTACTCTTGGATATATACCTAGGAGTGTAATTTCTGGGTCATATGGCACCTCTATGTTTAATTATGAGGACCCGCCAATCTGTTTTCCAAAGCAGCTACACCATTTTACATTCCTACCAGTAATGTATGGGGTTTCTAATTTCTCTACATCTTTGCCAACACTTTTGGCAAAATTTTCTGTCTTTTAGATTACTAGTCATTCCAGTGAGTTTGAAGTATTTCATCGTGGTTTTGATTTGCATTTCCCTAACAACTAATGGTATTGAGCATCTTTTCATGGGCTTATTCCCATTTCTTTTGTTTGTTTAAGTTGGCTCCATGCCCACCTGGAGCCCAGTGTGGGGCGTGAAGTCACAGCTGTGAGATCAAGACCTGAACTGAGACCAAGAATTGAATGTTTAATGGACTGAGCTACTCAGGTGCGCCTCCCACATTCTTTTAATCAGCCAGAAATTTTTGTCATGTTTCTGTTGCTTGACACCTATAAACAATAAAACCATGAATCCCTAAAACTTTCCTGAAAGTCCCCTTAAAAGGTGTCTGTCTTCTGAGTTGGTTGTGGGCCTAACAAAAGAGTTCTCCGGGGTCCTTTGAGTCTTCCTTTAAGGTCTCTTTAAGGGGACAGGAGTTCCATTTCACAGAGGCCCTCAAAATTCACCAAGGGGTGAGAGGCTGCATCCAAACTCATTAAATCATTCATAAAACACTCACTCACTCTCCCTACTTGTCCCATGCCTGGCTCGGTGTGTAGGGTCCTGCCTTTAAGGAGTTCATCATCTGCCACAGAAGGCACACATGGACATAGCCAGTCTCTGTTCAGAGTGATCAGTTTCTACAGAGGAAAACACAGGGTCTCTCTGTCCCTGCGAACAAGATGCTTCTTAGAGATGGAAATATCTGAGGTAAGTCCTCGAGGATGAGTGGGAGATAGCCAGGTAAAGGGTGGGATATGTGATGATGCTCATGAAATGGCTCACTCAAAGGGATGGCTTTGTATTAGTGATGATGTAAGTTCAACTGCCATAACAATAATCCTCTCTGATGTAAATAGATACATTTTTAAAAATAGATTTTACTTATTTGAGAGAAAGAGTGTATGTGAGAGAGAGGGCACAAGCAGGAGGAGGATCAGAGAGAGTGGGAGAAGCAGACTCCCCTAACTGCTATGGACCCTCCTGCTCAAATAGAGAAGAAACAGATACACAGGAGTCACTGGTCCATAGCAATTCTGAAATCAAGCAGGGCATGCATTGATTCTGAAGTCAAGCAGCTCCATGATTCAGATCAAACTTAGGAATACTTCTCTGTGGGTCTTAGTTCTGTCCTCTGAGTCATCCTTCCTTTCTCATAAAAGGTGGCCCGTGTTTGCATCTGAGTAATTGTTTCAGCCCATTTCCTAAACTATTGTACAAGCTAAGGAATCTAAAGTTCTCTTTTCATTTTATATTGTCCCTATCCCTTTCAAATGTGGCATTTGAGTTTGTGACACATGGTTTAGACAAAATTCTTGTAGGGAGAAACAAAATCTGTATTTAGGGAACTTCCAGGAGTTCAGTATGACCAAAATATTGGGCGTTCCCTGGTTTTCTCTCTGCTAGAATTCTAGACACAGAACCACAGTTATTGTGTATTATAGTCCTCATACCTGACTGTGAGAACCTCTAGGGCAGGGTCTATTTCTCAAGAAGAAATAGATAAATCCATTTAGCTGGGATGTTTTAATACAACTCTCTCAGTAACTGATAGAATATGCAAAATAAGGGCAGCACCGGTGGCGCAGCGCAGCGGTTTAGCGCCGCCTGCAGCCTGGGGTGTGATCCTGGAGACCTGGGATCAAGTCCCACGTTGGGCTCCCTGCATGGAGCCTGCTTCTCCCTCTGCCTGTGTCTCTGTCTCTCTTCCTGCCTCTCTCTCTCTCTCTCTCTCTGCCTCTGAATAAATTAAAAAAAAACTTAAGAATATGCAAAATAAAAACATCAATAAGGACACAGGAAGTTTGACTAACATGCTTCAAAATTTTGACCCAATTGACATAATAGAACACTGGGTCCAATAACTATAGAATAAATATTCTTTTCAAGTGCACATCAAATATTTATTGATATGCTCAGCCATAATGTAAGTCTAACCAAATTTCAAAGAGTCAAAAATTATATAGTGTATGTTCAATGACCACAGTTGGATTATGTTAATCATCAAACAAAAAGAAAACTTGGAGATCCCAAAATATTTGGAAATTGAACAGCACACTAGTAAACAACCCAAAGGTAAAAAAAGAAATTACAATAGAAAGTCAAAAATATTTGATTCAAATGATAATGAAAATATAATATGTTAAAACTTATAGAATGTAGCTGAAGCCATGTTTAGAGTGAAATGTGGGGCTTTAAACGAGTATGTACTTTTTTTTTCTAAATTTTTATTTATTTATGATAGTCACAGAGAGAGAGAGAGAGAGAGAGAGAGAGGCAGAGACATAGGCAGAGGGAGAAGCAGGCTCCATGCACCGGGAGCCCGATGTGGGATTCGATCCCGGGTCTCCAGGATCGCGCCCTGGGCCAAAGGCAGGCGCCAAACCGCTGCGCCACCCAGGGATCCCGAGTATGTACTTTTTAATGGCTGAAAATCAGCTATATAAAAATCTACCTTAAGTAGTTAGGGAAAACATCCAGAAATTAAATCCAAATAAAGTAAAGGAAGAAAATAATAAGGTTGACAGAATAAGTTAATAAAATAGAAAATAAAGATATGAGGGCACTGGGTGTCTCAGTTGGTTGAACATCTGCCTTTGGCTCAAGTCATGATCCGAGGGTCCTGGGATCAAGCCATGCATCAGGCTCCTTGCTTAGTGGGGATTCTGCTTCTCCCTCTCCCTCTGTCTCTGCCTCTGCTCATGCTCTTGCTCTTTCTCAAATAAATAAAATATTTTTTTAAAAAAAGGAACAAGAAAATGAAGATATTAAAGAGAGGATTTAAAGAACCAAGAGTTGGGATCCCTGGGTGGCGCAGCGGTTTGGCGCCTGCCTTTGGCCCAGGGCACGATCCTGGAGACCCGGGATCGAATCCCACGTCGGGCTCCTGGTGCATGGAGCCTGCTTCTCCCTCTGCCTGTGTCTCTGCCTCTCTCTCTCTGTGTGTGTGACTATCATAAAAAAAAAAAAAAAAAAAAAAAAAAAAAAGAACCAAGAGTTAATTCTCTGATAAAACTACTAAAATTGATAAACTTTTCACCAGACAGATGAAGGATAAAAAGAGGAGACACAATTATCATGTAGAGTACCATCACTACAGATCCTACATGAATCAAAAAGAGCATATTGTAAATAACTATATCTCAACAAACTTGAAGTTCAGATGACATGAATAGATAACTAGAAAAACATAGCCTATCAAAACGGACACAAGAAGAAATAGGAAGACTGAATAGTCCTGTTTCTACTAAATAAATTTAATTTTTTATTTTAAAAAATCTTTCCACAAAGAAAACTCCAGCTCGCTCTCTCTCTCTCTCTCTCTCTCTCTCTCTCTCTCTTTCTCTCTCAAATAAAGTCTTTAAAATAAAATAAAATTCTTAAAAAAAAAACAAAAGAAAGAAAATTCCAGGTCCAAATGCTTCCAGTGAACAGAAAAAGTAGAAGTACTTCTCAATTTATTTTGTGTGATCAGAATTACCTAGATCCAAAAACCTAACAGGGGCATTATGAGGAAGGAAAACTATAGGTCAAACAAAGATGCAAAAATTCTAAACAAAATATCAGCAAACCAAACCAAAAGATCTAAAAGTATGATAATATTCCACGACTAAGTTCTACTAACTCCAGGGATACAAAGTTGATTTGACATTTGAAAATTAATCAATAATAATTCACCACTTTAACAGACTAACGTTAAGAAAACCATAAAATCATCTCAAGAGATGTAGAACAATTATTTTATAAAAGTCATCAACCATTTATGATAAAATCCTTTCAAACTAAGAACAGAAGGGAATTTCCTTTATCTGATGAAGGACATGACCAAAAACCTATGTCCAACATCATACTTACCAACATCATAAAAACCTTTTCATGAGGGATACCTGGATGGCACAGTGATTGAGCATCTACCTTTGGCTCAGGTCATGATCCCAGAGTTCTGAGATCAAGTTCCACATTGGGCTCCCTGTCAGGAGCCTGCTTCTCCCTCTGCCTATGTCTCTGCCTCTCTCTGTGTGTCTCTCATGAATAAATAAATAAAATCTTTAAAAACAAAATATGAATGCCTGGATGGCTCAGTGGTTGGGTGTCTGCCTTTGGCCCAGGGCGTGATCCTGTGGTCCCAGGATCGAGTCTCGCATCAGGTTCCCTATGTGGAGCCTGCTTCTTTCTCTGCCTGTGCCTGTGCCTCTCTCTCTCTCTCTGTGTCTCTCATGAATAAATGAATAAAATTTTTAAAAGACAAAACAACCCCCCCCAAAAAAAACTTTTCCTGAGATGGGAATGAGAAAAGAGTGCCCACTATTACCCCTTCTATTCAACATTGTGCGGAAGGTCTTCCCTTATAAAATAACAAGAGAATATAGGATTAGGAAAAAAATAATTAAAATTGTAATTATTTGAGGGCAGGGGTTTGGCTTGATTCCTCTGCTGTGAATCACAGAGTAGGTGTTTGTTTGGTGGGTAATTGTTGAGTGGACAGATGGAGCAATGGATGGACAAAGAGAATGTTAAGTAGTGGGGCCCCCAAAGCAGGGGCCTATACTACATGGGCACTGACTACTACATAATCAACAGAAAAAGTAAAACAACAATGAAATTGCACAAGGAAATTTTTTTTATTGATAAAAATTTGATGGAAGAATCAGGGAAATCTTCCTGATAAAATGTAGGTCAGCAAAGTCTTGCCCACTGTTTCTACTTTTTTTTCTCTCTAGGACCTTTCGTAGAGAGGTGAGAATATTTGGCCCCTGCTTTGACCCTAAGGATTTAAAAAAATCCTTATTTTTTTATTTTTAAAGATTTTTATTTTATTATTTTTAAAAGGATTTATTCATTTATTTGAGAGAGAGCGAGAGAGCGAGCATATGGGGGGAGGGGCAGAGGGAGAGGCAGAGAGAGAATCCCAAGCAGGCTCCCCTCTGAGTGCAGAGCCCAATGGGGCTTGATCCCACGACCTCAAGATCATGACCTGAGCTGAAATCAAGAGTTGGCCGCTCAACTGACTGATCCACCCAGGTGTCCCTAAATATTTTTATTTTTAACTTATCTCTATACCCAACATGGGGTTCAAATTCACAACCTAGAGATCAAGAGTCACATGCTCTACCAACGGAGCGAGCCAGGTGCCCCAACCCTAAGGATGTTTTTGTCTTTGTATTTATGAGTACAGATTTTTGATGGAATTATATCATATTGATTACTTTTCACTGAGAAAATATTTCCCAGCACAAATCACATTAAGTTAGTTCAATATCTTTGATTTTTCTACACAGCTATTAAATCTATTTCCAACTTATTCATTTTCACTTAAATTGAGCTATAATTATCTTCAACTGAAAAATAATTTTCTGTATAAATTTCATAATGATGATTTGTGCTATCAGTCAATTTAAAAAATCCATATTACAATTTAATAATTATACCTTCTGCCATTGTAAGTTATCTTTTGTGGTCATTATTTCTATATTCTATGAAGTTCACTTTTCCTGGGATAAATTTCGCATATCTACATTTTGCCAAGAAAGCTTATAAGCTTATTTGATTTTGTCATCAATTTTTAGTCAACGAGTAATTTCACTCTGTGCAATTTAGATGTTAGTTTTATTTTTTCTGTTGATTATATAGTGAGTATGAATCTTACTCCACGAAGTTAGGGACGTAAAAAATGACATATTACTTTATTCAATTTAAATCAAATTAAGTCC